AAAATGTCCTAAATCAGTTTAAAAATCCTAGACACCTCAAAAACATATTTTTTCTAACCCAGTGTAATATGTTCATTTTCTTACAGGCGTGACCTGGTGTTTTCTGTAATTAGGTGGATAAATATGAGTTTTAAAGTATCAGCATGTGAGATAACTGGAATGAACCCTGAACAAAGACTGACCCTTTTGACCTTTATGAAGCAAGTATTTATTTACTGCAGCACTGTTGCTCCATTCTGGTTTAGTTTGAGCTAGATGTACCGAATAACCTGGTACATGAGGTTACGCTTTAGGTGGAGGTGGGCTGTGTGGAATCGTCACCGCTCCTATGTTGTTTCATGTTTACAACATTATCACAAGGGATTATTTAATGTGCATCTTCCAGGAAGGTTCTGGTCGTTTCTCTCATCTCAGTCAGGTTTTTTCATGAGGTTTACGTCTGTTTCTGATCGTGTGCAGCATCCATCCATCATCTCTACATCTTAATCCTCACTAGGGTCATGGGGGGCTGGAGTCTATCACAGCTGACTCAGGATGAAGCCAGGCTCACCTGGACAGGTCGTTTCACTCACCAGATTTCTGATGTTCTCTGCAAACACGAATCAGCTCACGTAAAAATGCTGTGATGTCGGCAGAGGTTTGTACCACAACACAGGATATATCTGGGTGACTTTGCTGAGTAAAAACTAGAACCTCTTCAAATCTAGTTCATGGACAGAAGCCTGATCCGTGTCTTGCTCAGCAGAGATATTCAGATGACTCACTGAAGGTACCACCGTAGCTGAGCAGGGACTGACTCTGCTTTGTTGGAGATGTGACCTTTCAGTTTAAAAGTCTAACTACATTTATTAGTAGATGGTTTTCCCAGTACGGATGCGCTTTGTTTATTTGTGTGTTTTTGTCTTTCAGGTTGTCAGAAGTGTCTCCGTTGGTGCGAGAAGCCTTGGAGACGTCGGCCTCAGTGGAGTACCTGAACACGCTGATGGAGGAGCTCGGTGTGCAGGAGCAGGACCTCCTGAGCTTAGTCCAGCCTTTTAAAACCCCCCAAAAACTCACATGACTCATAGGTAGAGACATGTGAATAACAAACATACACCCACAACCCTGGACTCTGTGGTGATGATGCAGTTTCTGTACTGTCTGTTTTGCACAAATAAACTTGGTTGTAATAAAAACAGCTGGTGTGTGTGTGTGTGTCTGTCTGTGGGTTTTTCCTTCACAAAGATTTCAGTGACAGCACATGTTGGTGTGCAGCAGCATTATGTACACAATCTGTGGAGAGATGTGTGCAAATCAGATCCTTGAAGTTTTAGAGCTGTGGGTGTTTTAACCTCTGCAGAGCCAAATAAATCACACCCAGCTTTTCCCAGAGAGAAAAATAAAACGCCATGTGGACACGCTGCTGGAGGAGCTGTGTGCCGTCATAAAAGCTGCGCTATTTTCCCCCCAGACTTCCTTTACATGCGGGTTTATGGCCCCATAATGTCATTTGTTATATGGGTATGTGAGCAATGCGTTCCTCTGAAAATATTTGGTTTTGACCAGGTGGCGCACGCAGCCAAACGTTTTTTTTTTTTTT